TGTAGACAGCCAACCAATAAAAGACATTCAAGATCAGGGTTTCCTTAGTGAACAAGATAGACTCTCATTTCATGCCTTTTTAATGTGCATCTACGCCTCCAATTTCTCCTGTGGAGATTATATTAGACTAATAAATAGGCGCATTCTAAGCAGATGCGGGAAAATCATTCGTCTGGTTGACTCGAGGCACAATTATGGCTCAATTAGTTGACAGATGACACCGAGTAGACGTCAACCAAGAACTCCGAGCCAACGGAGAACCCCAAGCAAACGAAATACTTCAAATTATTGCGTCAGTGGATCTTTGTGATGGCAGAGGGAAGGAACACACGACTAAATTACATAACTATGTACAAGCAGAAGGAGTTCACACGGGCACAAAGCCTCCCCTGTCGGAGGACCAACTCAGCATGCGTGTCCACACCTTCCATTTAGCGTTATGATGATGCGCAGACAAACTAATTGGACATCTCCTTTCTCTCACTACGGTTCCGATACGTCTAAACTGTAACGTGGATTAATATAAGGGGTCTCAGCCTTAATAGCAAGGCGGCGTGACTCGAGCTCGGATTTGCTCGCACCGCTGCGCACTCGAGTGCGCAATTGATATGTTGTTATAACAAGCATAGCATAGTTGCTATGCCTATAAAGGGTTTAATGGTACCCTAGCCACTAAACAGTAGGCACCGTGGAGAGCTCCCTTACACCTAGGTGTAAGGATGCTCAGAGATCGATCTCTGAACAGCTTTAGACCACCGCCAGATGCTTACAGTTTTGTGGATATTCAAAAAAATTTTACCACTCTGATATTTTCATGAATGCCTGTAGATTAACAACCGAAAAACGTACGTTCACCAACTTCACTCCTTAGACACTTACATGAGTTTAACATCCGACCTTAGGGGAATAGAAAAGGTCACGATATTACCGATTAACTAAAACAAGCGGCACAATGGAGGTTGGGTACCTATAATTACTTGTAGGGTTCCTGTGGTATATTTTTGTTACAATTCTGAAACTGGATTCAAATTTTTAACTGGATTTTTCTCCATAGTTGCATGTTTTAGAGAAACTGCTCGCTGGTTACCTTTTATATCCTGCATTTCTTACATCAGATCCATCAGAGTTATATGATTTATTTAACCTCCCTCCAGAAAATTCATTTTGTGTATAAGTTTTAAAAGTCATCTTTTCTAGGAGGACGTGCGCTCCATAGGCAAGAAAAGGAAAACTGGATTTTTTAACTAAATATCGCAACTTCCATAAATGCAACTGAAGCGGCAGAGAGTTTGCCTACCCTTGAACTCATAGTATCTTCAGGAGTTTATTACAAAATGTAGAGTTGCGATTCCTGCAGACTCGGTCGTATGGATATGCAAACAAATGTTTAACTGATCGCGCCAACAATTAATAACGATAATAGCTTCTTATCATTTGATGAGGTTTTTAATAAACATTTTCAGTCTGCAGATAAGCAAAATTCTGATGAACGCGGTAGGTTTCTAAACTTTGAAATCCTGATGAAGGTTTCCTTGTTCAACCATTAATCATCATACATACGCGATGGTCTTCTTAGTCTTCTCTATTTGGCCCTATGCGAACTGCTAGGATATCGTCAGCCTTAGCATCTGCCGCACCTTCTGGTCATAGTCTAAGCGGCCTTTATTGTTTTCCCTTGTGCCGAAACGCAACGGACTGCTGGTGATCATGACACATTCATCAATTTTCTTAACCGTTCCATAAAATTATGAAAATGGCAGTGCGTTCATATGAAGACAGAGTGACCGAACTTGATCTATTTCCTCTCAATTATAGGCAACTCCGCCGTGACCT